GGGTGGAATAGCTTTGTTATTCTCCAGATAAAGGAGAGTTGGACTTTCTCCAAAAAGCAGTTCCTACCAAAACACACCGCAAGTGCTGCCATCCAGGCCTCTCACCTGGCCAGGCCCATCCAGGGATCCAGCCAGAATGAGGGAGGAAGGATGCAGGGGCTCTTCATTCACGAGGACAACCATGAGAACATCGCTACTGACATTTTACAACAAAGCCTGAATCACATCCTACCTCACACCTGCATATAATGGCCTTGTGCTGAGAATTACCTTCAAAGGCTATAGCTCTGGTGCACAGATTCACCCCAAACACACCGACTCCTGCCACCTTTCATAGACTGCAGCAGCAGCTGGCTATCTGAGGGCATAGAGGAGAGACCATTGACATCTCATCTCTCCTTTCACAAACTCCCATAGAGAGTTTTCAGCCTGGGATCTTGGGAAAGGGTCTGTGAGCTTCCAGAAGTCCCTGGGAAATCCAGTAAGAACATTACGCATTTTCTGAGGAGCCCATGGGAAACTCAAATAAGCCCTTGTGGGAGTTAATGAGTGACACAGAGTGTCTCTTTGACCAGACTTTGGTCAGCCTCCTCTGAACTCTTCTTTATTAGGCCCTCACTTTGGGGCTTCTGTCTTCATCTCAGCATTGTCCAATTTTAGCAAGAATCTTGCTAAGTGAGTTTAGCCAGAATCTTCCACCCTTGATATCTGATCACCCTCAATATCTAACCAAACTCCTTATCCCCCTCCTTCCCCCAGGTAATGTCTGATCACCCTGGCCTGCCTTTGGCAAGAATCCTGTGAAGTTCTGAGCCAGGATCCCCCAGACCCCTGATGTTTCCTCTTAGTAATTTTCCATCCACTGCCCCTCACCAGGCTCTTTGGTTATAAATTCCTACTTTTCATTGCTATATTCAGAGTCAAGCTCAAGCTCTCTCCCTCAACTACAAGACCCCATTGCAGTGGTTTCTTCATCTATAGCTATGGTCCTAACTAAAGTCTGCCTTACCAT